TAGTAGTAGTAGTAGTAGTAGTAGTAATTGTAGTAGTAACTGTGTAGTAACAGTATTAACTGTGTAGTAATTGTAGTAGTAGTGTAGTAATTGTAGTAGTAATAGTAGTAGTAGTAGTAATAGTAGTAGTAGTAGTAGTAGTAGTAGTAGTAGTAGTAGTAGTAGTAGTAGTTGCTGCTACTGCTGTTGTTGTTGTTGTTGTTGTTGTTGTTGTTGTTGTTGCTGTTGTTGTTGTTGTAGCGATAGAGTTGGGGAAGGGCTAGAAAGAGAAAGAGAGAGAAAGAGAGAGAGAGAACATGAAAATAACTGGTATATTATTGTAGTCAACAACTACGATATAGTATATTCAATTGCCCGCTATCTATATTCCCAATGTAGCAGCGAGCCGATAAAACTTGCCGTGAACCGTGAACCGTGAATTGCAATGTAAACATGATGTAGTGACATGACATCCTCTTCTCTACATGTAAATTCTTTCGCAGAGGTTTAAGCTAAAAAGTTCTTTTCTATAAAGGGATGCATTTATGTAATTTAATTGTAAACGTAAATTTGCTTAACTGATGACAGAGTTAAAACAACTCCCTTGATTATGAATTGACGTGGCAAAATTTGTGTTAATGACGACAATATATAAAATGGCGGTGTTAACCGCTGAACGCTGCTAAACAATTTTTCGGAGTTTACCGCGACGTTTTATAACCGAAACATCACTCTAGCTCAGAGACAATCATTCGTCATCTAACTGAAATAGTATTAACAATTATTAAATTGAGAAATGGCATTCTAAATCGTGTTTAAAGTCGAAAAGCAAGGCTAAATCATGAATCTAGACGCCAAATTGGCGAGAAGGAGGATCGTGGTTGCTCGCCCATTTACGAGCAGCGGTCACTGAAGGCGAATATATTTCTTTTGTCATTCAACACCATTTCTACATTTATCCTCTTCGGGACATACTTCAACGAATTAACTCCAGCGGAGCATGCTCGGCGTCTCTCCCGTGTGATTACCATCGCAAAAAAAAATTATCGCGAAGGGATCGATAAAATACGTCTGGTTAAATGTTTGAGATGGAGTTGATCGGCTGCGGATCTGTCTTGGAGCTGCTGGTATCGTAACGTCATCGCTCGCCGACGCTTGCCCATCAATGCGCAAGAGAGCCATTGGGTGTACGCTAGTTAGCGCTCGCGTTTAACTGCATTAGGATGTAAATGTGTAGGCATGTAATCTAGCGCTTATAACGTGTTAAGGGGCTTCGTACGGTGCAGGCGAGGTCGATTGAGGTAGCGAGGCAGCACGAGTTCGGTGAGAAGCTATGTCGCCTATCGAATTAGCACCCTAGGTCTATTACTGTGTACATGCGTATATACGGGGCGCTATTTTACACATACTGACGCTTTACGCGTATACAATATATATATATATATATATCTATTACTGTGTACATGCGTATATACGGGGCGCTATTTTACACATACTGACGCTTTACGCGTATACAATATATATATATATATATACATGTGTGTGTGTGTGTGTGTGTGTGTGTGTGTGTGTGT